TGCCAGAATGTAAAAAGAAAAGTGACTTAATTTCACATAACCTTTAGAAAATAAACAGAAGGTTAATGCATATTAAAAAAGTTTGACAAACATTTGTATAAAAAAAACTTGCATAAGAAGGCATGCTTTCTGTTGGACTGATTGGAAAGATGGTGCTAAGGGGGTTTAATAAGTCTATTCAATCAAGGTGCTGTTTTGTTTGTTCGAACACACACAGACCAAGGCTCAATTCATACAGTGCCTTGCAAAAGTATTCATCCCCCTTGACATTTTTCCTATTTTGTTGCATTACAACGTGTAATTTAAATTGATTTTTATTTGGATTTCATGTAATGGACATACACAAAATAGTCCAAATTGGTGAAGTGAAAGGAAAAAAATTACTTGTTAAAGAAATGTCAAAAAAATACATAACGGAAAACTGGTGCGTGCATATGTATTCACCCCCTTTGCTTTGAAGCCCCTAAATAAGATCTGGCGCAACCAATTACCTTCAGAAGTCACATAATTAGTTAAATAAAGTCCACCTGTGTGCAATCTAAGTGTCACATGATCTGTCACATGATCTCAGTATATATACACACACCTGTTCTGAAAGGCCCCAGAGTCTGCAACACCACCAAGCAAGGGGCACCACCAAGCAAGCGGCACCATGAAGACCAAGGAGCTCTCCAAACAGGTCAGGAACAAAGTTGTGGAGAAGTACAGATCAGGGTTGGGTTATAAAAAAATATCAGAAACTTTGAACATCTCACAGAGTACCATTAAATCCATTAATTCAAAATGGAAAGAATTTGGCACCACAACAAACCTGCCAAGAGAGGGCCGCCCACCAAAACTCACAGCCCAGGCAAGGAGGGCATTAATCAGAGGCAACAAAGAGACCAAAGATAACCCCGAAGGAGCTGCAAAGTTCCACAGCGGCGATTGGAGTATCTGTCCATAGGACCCCTTTAAGCCGTACACTCCACAGAGCTGGGCTTTACAGAAGAGTGGCCAGAAAAAAGCCATTGCTTAAAGAAAGAAATATGCAAACACGTTTGGTGTTCGCCAAAAGGCATGTGGGAGACTCCTCAAACATATGGAAGAAGGTACTCTGGTCAGATGAGACTAAAATTGAGCTTTTTCGCCATCAAGGAAAACACTTTATCTGGCGCAAACCCAACACCTCTCATCACCCCGTGAACACCATTCCCACAGTGAAGCATGGTGGTGGCAACATCATGCTGTGGGGATTTTTCATCGGCAGGGACTGGGAAACTGGTCAGAATTGACGGAATGATGGATGGCACTAAATACAGGGAAATTCTTGAGGGAAACCTGTTTCAGTCTTCCAGAGATTTGAGACTGGGATGGAGGTTCACCTTCCAGCAGGACAATGACCCTAAGCATACTGCTAAAGCGACACTCTAGTGGTTTAAGGGGAAACAATTAAATGTCTTGGAATGGCCTAGTCAAAGCCCAGACCTCAATCCAATTGAGAATCTGTGGAATGACTTAAAGATGGATGGGTTCCGCTGGTGTACAGCAAACTTGAAGGAGCTGGAGCAGTTTTGCCTTGAAGAATGGGCAAAAATACCAGTGGCTAGATGTGCCAAGCTTATAGAGACATACCCCAAGAGACTTGCAGCTGTAATTGCTGCAAAAGGTGGCTCTACAAAGTATTGACTTTGGGGGGGGGGGGGGGCATGTTGTGTAAATTAAATGATACAAAGCTATTTTAATTCCAGGTTGTAAGTCAACAAAATAGGAAAAATGCCAAGGGGGGTGAATATTTTCACAAGCCACTGTATGCCCTGATTTGATAAAACTTATAGCAAGACAAATACAAAAGAATGAGTGAGAAAAGCAAACGCTGCACAAGTGAACAAAAAGAGGACAAGTAATGATCACTGGCACTGTACTGACTGAGTTTTAATGCCGACTAGACTAGAATGCATTGGTAGAATCTCAACAATAGGGAGGTAAATTCAGAGTAAGAAGATATAATCCAGATTTCTATTTCATATTATAAACAAATCACATCTTTTGGGGTGGAGGGGACCATATAAAAATAATACTGGGTGGGAATTCAACCAAAAGTGCATCACAACAAAACATATTATTCTAACAGTCACACCTGTTCCATTTTCTATACAAGATCTTGTGAATAATCCTCCACAAATATCGTACCAGTGCCTGTGACACTTGAACAAACTACTGAGTGGTGTACATTATGAACAAACCACAGATTTGCCCATGTTTTACAGGCGTTACCCAAAATAAACTGAATTCACCTTTTAAGAGATAACAAAAAATAAAATACATTTAAGGCAGCTGCTATACAGACTACTTGTAAAAAATAAAAATAAACAGAATCCAATATAATTAAACAGTGAACCTCACATAGTTAACTTAAAGTCCAAAGTATTAGAATTACTTTTTTTCATTATGCGGATTCAATTGTGCTCTATAATTCAGATACATATGTTTGCTGAAGATTCAGAGTTTTGTGGGTGGATATGAAATCACATGGGGATAACATAGGAGCTAGACCAGTGTGTTTGTGTAATAAGGTAATAATACAAGCCACAGTGCAAGTCAAGAGACAAACTATACTGTTGGAACAAAGGCACTCGAGGTACCTAAAAAGGGGGAAAGGTCAAGTTTCTCTGTAACATAAGTTCAGGCTTAACAAAGACAAAAACATATTAATGTGAAGTGGATGTCTGAATACTTTGTTCTATTCAAGGGACACAGTATGAAACATGTTTGACACCCAGCCAATCTATGTAGTGTTTTCTTGGTGAAGATATATCCTTAAGAGTACAGTGTGAGACTCAGAAGGCAAATAACCCCTTTCATTCAATCTATGAGAAAGCACAAGACAAGAAAGTATAGCCATTGCAGTTGATTGCATCTCTTGGTCAAACTCTTCCTGTTCAATTAAGATGGGTTTAAAAAAAACCACAAAAAAATTGACTTGTATAACAACTCAGCATTTATCATGAGATTCTTTTTTAACATAGCTAAGAAATACAAATTGCAATGTTGAGAAAATTCGGTCCCTTGAATGTAGAATTTCTGGAATTTAAACTCCCTGTTTTCAAAACAGCAAACATTCTCCAAAGACATGTCGATTGGTCAAGGATTGAAGTCAACATGATATGTATGTTGCCGTCTGTGCACTCTACAATGCAACAGTATAGCATTAAAAAAACATTTTCATTTCAATTGAGAAGACATGACGCATGCTCTAAAAATATCTATCACAGGTCTCCTGAATGGTCCCAACCTCAAAAGTTGCTGAACAATTCATGAACAACTTGGTCGAAAACAAATGGGAAAAAACTGGATACTGGCCCCACAAATTATAAAACATTGGACAGATATGTTGATGTCGCATTAAAAAACAAATACCAGTGGAAGCACAAATCTATTGAGTATTTAGTGATAGGTTCGTTGGTTAGTTCTGTTATCCAAGCATGTTCCAACGGTAGGAGAGAGAGACCATTTCTGCTGCACAAGGCCTGTCTCACCCTCAAAGATAAATTGGATCATACAAAAATATTGGCAAGTTGGGGATAAATTACATGACAACAAACAAAATGCACTGTTTTGTTCCATATGTAACATACAAAAAAGCTTTTCAGCACTTATTTGTTATGCAGAAGCTTGTGCTTTAATCTCAGGATTTGTGGTATGTTCCTTACCACCACCAAAATGGGTTGATGCCCAGGAAATAAATATATTTTGATGAGATTGTTGAATAAGCACTCATGCTTATTTACCAGGTATTGCCAATTGCTGAGATGGTTTTGAATATTCAATTTCTTCCTTGATCTTTCCATACAGTTAGTGGACATGTCCCTGCTATATTTGGATACAATAGCATTTTGGCAGTTCAGAATTCAACAAAAACATACATTTCATAATATGCAAAGGTCACCTCTTTTAAAAGATAGACTTGCATAAACTATGCCAGTTAAACACATTTAATAACAAACTGTTTTATGAAACAGAAATGCACTTATTTTTTAAGACTAGGAAGACCTGAATATCTTTTCCTATAAAAGAAGAAACACACCCCAGATAGATATTTTTGTGTGTTTGTTTTTGACATTGCAAGATTATTGCAATTTAACATTTAGCGCTCACAGTTGACACCGACTCACGAATGAAACTCAATCACTGCACTGGACCTACACCATTTTAAAACTTTAAGCTACCATGTGTGATCTGACTCCACTGTCTCTTGAGATTACTGTCTTTGTTACCTGGGTCTTCCTCAGCAAGGCCCTGGTCAGCAAGTTCTATTAGCAGTCTGCCTCATACTTCCAAACCACGTGGACGTAGCTTTTTCTTTGTTGCCTGAGGTGTTGTGTAAATGGGTCCATAGTTATTGGTCGGGTGAGAATGGGAAAGGGGAGGAAGGTATTGGGATAACTGAAGGCTCTCTTGTTTTACCTGTTTGATTTTCAATGACGCTCAACTGGTGCCTCAATGTTTCCCACTGTTAAATACTGATGCTTTAGAATTTTTCAAAGCCCTGTCCTCAGCTGTTTTGCCAATCTTTTGGTTTTATGTTTCTCTCAGTTAATGCCAGAGAAACACGTTCTCGGTTCAGCAGTCTTTGGAGATCTCTAACCTGCCTCCCCAGGAACAAAAGACAACCTAAAAAAACAACCCCCACGAGAGTTCTGAGGGCAGCTGTTGCAGGCACACAATGGTGTGATGTTATAAATTATCTTACTTTTACCATTACAACTATTATTTTCTATCCTTAAATTGGCATGACACTGGTACACAAACCACCCTTTCACCCATGTTTGGGGTATAATAGCCTACAGCATCCAAGAGCAATCTCAGACTCGGGCTGTAGATTTACTATTGACACAGTCTGACAATACATTGAAAACAAGTAACATTTATATAGATTGGCAACTTCAGGCACCTTTCAAAGGTGAAAGCAAAAGTCATTTTCTTATGTGGGAGTGGAGGGGGGTTGATCCAAGAGAGCGTTACTCTTTATTGTCCAAACTGTCGAGAAGAGCTGGCAAAGATTTCTGGGAAGGTTCTGAGGTTTTGCTGTTGTTGGTGCTGCTGCCATCATCGTTTGTGTTCTCTTCCTGTTCCTCTTCTACCACCTCCTCTGTGCTGTTAGTGGTGGTGACCTTGTTCTCAGGGTTGGTGTTTGTGTTGTTAGTACAGCTCTCGTCCTTGTTGTTAGTACAGTTCTCGTCCTTGTCGTTAGTACAGCTCTCGTCCTTGTTGTTAGTACGGTTCTCGTCCTTGTTGTTAGTACAGCTCTCGTCCATGCCCGCGTCAGTACACACAAGGTCAGTGGTGCCATTGGTTGTGGCCACAGTAGAGTCCTCTGCGCTGACCACTGCTGTGGCTTTCGTCTCGGCCTCAGTCACTTCCTCAGCGTTGTTGACCTCAGCCACGGGTTCAACACTGCTGTCCACTGTAGCCACGGCGCTGAAACCCGGCAACAGGCTCAGCGCTGACTCCTGATACCGTCTCGGTGGTAACATTAGCTACATCCTCCTCCTTTCCGGCTTCAACATCGCTGATGTCCTGTGCTGTGACCTTCACCACATCCACACACTGGATATTGACTTCTGCTACAGCCTCTGTGTTGACTGTGTCCACAGCATTTTCAGCTGGGACAACTGCATCCTTGGCCCTTGTGATGTCCTTTGTGATGTCTTCTGTGATGGCACCAGTACCCTCGGTCTCCATGGTTAGACTGAAACTGAAAGCCTGAATGAGGCGGACCAGGTGTTTGACCTTCTCCAACGAAACTTGCATTTCTTTCTGTCGAGACAGGATGATGTTTTTGGTCTCCATGCATTTCTATTTGGAGGGGAGGAAACAGGGTTAAGTAATAATAAATGAACACACTTAAATTAATCCAATAAAGTCACTATAAAAAGAACAGTTTCAAAATACTCTATAGACCATTATTTTACATCACTGCACTTTATGCACCTTATCTGGTGTCAAATGGATTCTTCATTTGCTTACACAAATATTTTGCTGTCAGATTAAGATTCACAAAAACTAGTTCTAGCAGTATCTTTTATCATGTTGGTTCCTGACAGATCCACATTTGCTTGCTAACAAGCGAGATATCAAGCTAGCTTTGTCTCCATCTCTGCCAATTACTGAACTCTAACTTTATCACTACTAGTGCTGTTATTATAAATGTAAAGTTTTTAGAAATCAGCTACAGTATTAGGATAGCTAATTAACTGCAAACTGTAGGACTTTAGCCGATTAGCTAGCATTTGGCTATGTAGCTAGAAAGCTTTGTTAACAGTGTGCAAACTTATTTTTTTATGCAGTTCTATGAAAATGTAATTTAACGTCAGCCATCAGTATCACTGGGCATTATCTGTTTCCTCAAGAGTTATCATCACTAATCGAACGTAAGCCAGGCGAGCATCAGACAGGGAACCAAAAACGTAAAATGTTTTTCGCACGGAAACACGTGAAAAATCTGTGTTAACTGCAAGAAAATGTGCATATTTTTAGAGTGGGGTTGTCATAATACCAACATTTTACTAACAATGTGATAACAGGCCAAGTAGTATCATGATACCACAGGGTTTGCCCCCACCCCCAGGATGCATGTTCCCGTTTTTGACATGTTCTGCACGTGTGCTGCACAAAGACCTGTCCCTGATATTCACACCTCTACTCAATACAACACATTGAATTTAACTTCACACTTTTTACTCTATAATACAACAGGTTACTTCAGAAAATAGATGATTCACTATTATACAAAGGCCTACCTGTGATTGGGCAAAAGGAATGTAGTAAGGGATATAAATGCATAATGATCTGCATTTTCATTGTGGCAGTAAGGGGAAAAGACACTAGGCCTATATGAAACCACACACACACACCCCCCTCCCAAAAGTTAGGCACCAAACAGAATTTAAGGAACACCAGAAAAAAATATATTTTTTAAAATTCAAATTTAGCTCTGAATTACATTGATTAGGCATATGCATCCTAAAGTTGAAGCAGCTCTTTCAGTAGGCTATCTCAGTGGTTCACAACCTTTTTTGAACCGTGGCACATCTTGATGGGATAATTTTTTTAAATCTGTGGCACACCTGAAAATGTCCCTATTAAATGTATTGTGGTAATGACCTCCATCTCATCTGATACCGCAAATCATCTATTTTCTGTGACAAATTATTTTTATAGATTAATAATATAATAATAATCTGCCATTTAGCAGACGCTTTTATCCAAAGCGACTTAGTCATGTGCGCATACATTTTTACGTATGGGTAAAAATGTTATTTTCATTGTTCCTTACTCATGATGATTAATTTGTGTGTACCCCTTAAAGAGCATCCTGTGAATCCGCACTTTTACACCGGTAAAATAGGTCTTTAGTTTAAAATGGTTTGGGCTAGAGACAACCGGTTTTCTGCAACCACAGACACAAAACCATGCTCCGTTTGTTTCTATGGCAGAGGCTGTGGTACACAGTTAAGCATAATCAGACTTGCCTGTGCTAATGGTGCTTACAGGCGAAGTAACATTTTACAAATTACTTTGCTCGTGATGCACGCCCCTAAAATGATACAAATAAAACAACAGCCTGAGCGCACCGGACTTGAAACAACGATACAGATGTAACCATGTGCCATTTAACGTATTATCTGAGCGCACTGGTGCTCCCAAGTCAAAATTCCATGTGCATTCCACAGGACACATTTAAATAAGTGTTCCAAAAAATCTAGATTAGGAAAGGTTTCTCTGTGCGCCTCTCTTTTATAGCTCAACGGCTGATACACTGCATCTGCGCACTTTTCGTCAGCCCCCTACACAATTCACCTGGATTACCTATTTTGAGATCAAAACGGCGAATATCGCAGAAAAGACGAGTTTGCATCCCTGATCCGAGCAATATGGGCAGTTAAGTGAAATACCTAGCTCACACTATTATTACAGATCTCAGCCACTTCCGTCTTTTCCAGTATGGCCATCTGGAAACAACTCACTTAAAGGGGATCTGCTGTTACTATGGAGCTTACCGTTATAGAGTTGCTGAGTTGTTTGACCCCTTGTTCCAACTGCTCCCGTTCCAGTTTCAGCTCAGTACTCCACTTCATTAGCTTTTGTTTCTCCTCTTCTTTAGCTGTTAGGAAACAGAAACAACACACCGACAACAGTGAGATTTAAAAAGGCAATCTGGTTGTTTGAGATGCCAGTGACGGAACTGTTCCATCTACCACCGCTTCAGCTGAATGAAGCAGAACCACACATTTCATGTTTGTCGAGGCACAAGGTCTTTGGTGTGCTATTCCTACCTTCTTTATAGGCGATGTAGGAATGAACAATAGCCAATGTTCCTGGCCATTCAATTGCATCTTCTTTTTTCAATATCTGGAGAGAAGAGCACAGCTTTGTTGTATTGTGATTGTGAAGTCACGACATTACCTAGACATGGAAGAGAACATTGCTCTGGTCACCCTCTGGTGATGTCACGATGGACAAACAAACAAAATCAGATGGGAGTGTAAGATGCCATCATCCACTAACAAAATGAATGGGAAAGAATTACATAAAACAATACTGAATCATGTTGACGTTTGCAGTTCCTTCTTGAACAGTCATATCTTAATGTTGTCGTTTAGGAAAAAGGGCTAGCTGATGACAGCCTAAGGGGAAGATTACATTTCTGGATAACCTGTGGACAATTCTGTGCCAATTGCCCACTTTGAAAAGGCAACCCATTTTTCTGATCTAGACCACTGAACCACTGGACTGCTGGGCCAAGCCCCCCCTGATCAGTAGGTTGGGTGCTGTGTTTACCTGGTCTTGACATTTGGGACAGATCCACATGCCTTTAGGAATGGTTTTCAGGGGTGGGTCCAGGCAGTCCAGGTGATAGACACGTGAGCATGTGTCACACATGAGCAACTGGCCACTGCGTCTGCACACAGTGCAGAAATCCTCATGGATGTCTCCCTGTCAGGAAGAATTGCACCAATCAGTTTCACTGCCCGTCTAGGCCTGACCAATCAGGTGTGCAGAGGCAGGGCAGAAGGGAGGTGCCATGTTTGTTGATTTGAGGATTATCCAATCATATTAGGGTCTTTGTGGTGTTTTAGTGAGAACACTTAAAGCGCGACTGAAGACTGCCTATGTGGCGAGTCAGAAACATTTATTCTAGTGTCAAAATTGACTACAAAGTGTAAGATAATTTGGGTCATAAAGTCAGTTCTGTCCAAAACTGAGATTTGCGAGATGGTTAGGAAAAAAGGAATGAAGGGTATGTAACACTTTTCCTTGGGTTGCGTTTATTTCAATCCTGCCCACAGCACCCAAGTAATCATCAATTCGGAGCACAACTGCAAGCGACCCGATCGTAATGACCAATAAATTTGGTTTGGATATCCCTATGGGGCTAGTTAGTAAATTGGACAATCCGAAACATTTCAATAGCTCCAAATTTCTATTAATAAAAAAACTCAAACCAACTATGAATTGTAAGACAAACTGATGTATCAGTTGACCAATATTGTTGGCTGATATTTACCTTTCACTGATGTAAACTCAGCAAAAAAAGAAACGTTCCTTTTTCATGACCCTGTCTTTCAAAGACAATTCATAAAAATCCAAAAAAACTTCACAGATCTTCATTGTAAAGGGTTTAAACACTGTTTCCCATGCTTGTTCAATGAACCATAAACAATTAATGAACATGCACTTGTGGAACGGTCGTTAAGACACTAACAGCTTACAGACGGTAGGCAATTAAGGTCACAGTTAGGAAACTTAGGACACTTAAGAGTCCTTTCTACTGACTCTGAAAAACACCAAAAGAAAGATGTCCAGGGTCCCTGCTCATCTGCGTGAACGTGCCTTAGGCATGCTGCAAGGAGGCATGAGGACTGCAGATGTGGCCAGGGCAATAAATTGCAATGTTCGTACTGTGAGACGCCTAAGACAGCGCTACAGGGAGACAGGACGGACAGCTGATTGTCCTCGCAGTGGAAAACCAATTGTAACAACACCTGCACAGGATCGTTACATCCAACCTGCGGGACAGGTTCAGGATGGCAACAACAACTGCCCGAGTTACACCAGGAATGCACAATCCCTCCATCAGTGCTCCAACTCTCCGCAATAGGCTGGACTGAGGGCTTGTAGGCCTGTTGTAATGCAGGTCCTCACCAGACATCACCGGCAACAACGTCGCCTATGGGCACAAACCCACCGTCGCTGGACCAGACAGGACTGGCAAAAAGTGCTCTTCACTGACGAGTCACAGTTTTGTCTCACCAGGGGTGATGGTCGGATTTGCGTTTATCGTTGAAGGAATGAGCGTTACACCAAGGCCTGTACTCTGGAGCGGGATCGATTTGGAGGTGGAGGGTCCATCATGGTCTGGGGCGGTGTGTCACAGCATCGGACTGAGCTTGTTGTCATTGCAGGCAATCTCAACCCTGTGCGTTACAGGGAAGACATCCTCCTCCCTCATGTGGTAACCTTCCTGCAGGCTCATCCTGACATGACCCTCCAGCATGACAATGCCACCAGCCATACTGCTCGTTCTGTGCGTGATTTCCTGCAAGACAGGAATGTCAGTGTTCTGCCATGGCCAGCGAAGAGCCCGGAACTCAATCCCATTGAGCACGTCTGGGACCTGTTGGATCGGAGGGTGAGGGCTAGGGCCATTCCCCCCCAGAAATGTCCGGGAACTTGCAGGTCCCTTGGTGGAAGAGTGGGGTAACATCTCACAGCAAGAACTGGCAAATCTGGTGCAGTCCATGAGGAGGAGATGCACTGCAGTACTTAATGCAGCTGGTGGCCACACCAGATACTGACTCCCTCCCCTTTGTTCAGGGACACATTATTCAATTTCTGTAGGTCACGTCTGTGGAACTTGTTCAGTTTATGTCTCAGTTGTTGAATCTTATGTTCATACAAATATTTACACATGTTAAGTTTGCTGAAAATAAACACAGTTGACAGTGAGAGGACGTTTCTTTTTTTGCTGAGTTTATTTGTATCTGCATTTAATCTACCGAAAAGGACCAATATAAAATGTGAAGAAAAAAGGCGTTCTTCATAGAATGTGACTTTTTTGGTGCATTTCCTTATATGTCCTGAACAGGGTGCTGTTTACATGGCTATAAGCCGATCTTGCCTTGGCTGGACACTATCACCCAATGCAACTATACCGATCCGAGAGTAGAGTGAACTACTGTGAACTAACTGTTACTGCTTCTATGGTGAGTGCTGAGTAGATAGAAGCTTGCCAGCTCAATAAAGTGTAAAATGCGCACTGGTCACATACAGTGGCTTGCGAAAGCATTCCCACCCCTTGGCATTTTTCCTATTTTGTTGCTTTACAACCTGGAATTAAAATGGATTTTTTGGGGGTTTGTATCATTTTATTTACACAACATGCCTACCACTTTGAAGTTGCAAAATATTATTTATTGTGAAACAAACACAAAAAAACAGAACTTGAGCATGCATAACTATTCATATATTCCACCCTGGTCATGGGCCTAAGCCATGTGAAAATATGTAGAAATGCAGGAAATTAGCTTTGAAACTGATTTTCTTTCCTGGGAGTGGGAACCACAAACCCTCCGGCTAGGGGTGGAACATAGACATTCACGATAGGAAATCTTACTCCAAGCTACAGTATCTTCAAAGTCAATACTTTGTAAAGCCACCTTTTGCAGCAATTACAGCTGCAAGTCTCTTGGGGTATGTCTCTATAAGCTTGGCACGTCTAGCCACTGGGATTTTTGCCCATTCTTCAAGGCAAAACTGCTCCAGCTCCTTCAAGTTGGATGGGTTCCGCTGGTGTACAGCAATCTTTAAGTCATACCACAGATTCTCAATTGGATTGAGGTCTGGGCTTTGACTAGGCCATTCCAAGACATTTAAATGTTTCCCCTTAAACCACTCAAGTGTTGCTTTAGCAGTATGCTTAGGGTCATTGTCCCGCTGAAAGGTGAACCTCCGTCCCAGTCTCAAATCTCTGGAAGACTGAAACAGGTTTCCCTCAAGAATTTCCCTGTATTTAGCGCCATCCATCACTCCTTCAATTCTGACCAGTTTCCCAGTCCCTGCTGATGCAAAGTATCCCCACAACATGATGCTGCCACCACCATGCTTCACTGTGGGGATGGTGTTCTCAGGGTGATGAGAGGTGTTGGGTTTGTGCCAGACATAGAGTTTTCCTTGATGGCCAAAAAGCTCGATTTTAGTCTCATCTGACCAGAGTACCTTCTTCCATATGTTTGGAGAGTCTCCCACATGCCTTTTGGCGAACACCAAATGTGGTTGCTTATTTTTTTCTTTAAGCAATGGCTTTTATCTGGCCACTCTTCCGTAAAGCCCAGCTCTGTGAAGTGTACGGCTTAAAGTGGTCCTTTGGACAGATACTCCAATCTCCGCTGTGGAGCTTTACAGCTCCTTCAGGGTTATCTTTGGTCTCTTTGTTGCCTCTCTGATTAATGCCCTCCTTTCCTGGTCCGTGAGTTTTGGTGGGCGGCCTTCTCTTGGCAGGTTTGTTGTGGTGCCATATTCTTTCCATTTTTTATAATGGATTTAAATGGTGCTCCGTGGGATGTTCAAAGTTTCAGATATTTTTATATAACCCAACCCTGATCTGTACTTCTCCACAACTTCGTCCCTGACCTGTTTGGAGAGATCCTTGGTCTTCATGGTGCCGCTTGCTTGGTGGTGCCCCTTGCTTAGTGGTGTTGCAGACTCTGGGGCCTTTCAGAACAGGTGTATATATATTGAGATCATGTGACAGATCATGTGACACTTAGATTGCACACAGGTGCACTTTATTTAACTAATTATGTGACTTCTGAAGGTAATTGGTTGCACCAGATCTTATTTAGGGGCTTCATAGCAAAGGGGGTGAATACATATGCACGCACCACTTTTCCGTTTATTTAATTTTTTTTCATTTTACTTCACCAATTTGGACTATTTTGTGTATGTTGATTACATGAAATCCAAATAAAAATCCATTTAAATTACAGGTTGTAATGCAACAAAATAGGAAAAACGCCAAGGGGGATGAATACATTTGCAAGGCACTGTACTGTTACATGAAGTGTCATGACAATCAATGGATGCTATGCCCAAATATAAAGCAAGTGCCGTGCTAAGAACATTAAACTCTGTGGTAACGTTAAAGCCTTATGGTGTGCGAAATCTGGTGGGTTATATTACCTTTTTGCGAAGGGTATTCCTCAAGCTGTGTCATAATTAGTTTTTCAGAGGCACAAAAAATATAAACATAGCCGGTTACAAAGTAACGCTTCGTAGCTACGTTTTGATGCATGGGTTGTCACTTGTCAGGGACCGGTCTAAATTCACGTTTGCCACCCCCATCTAACCAGAGAGTACTTGACGCCATTCACTGAGGGTTAGTGCTATCAGGGATCCTTGGGATGTCCCCACGCTAAACCCTAACCATAGCCCCTACCCTACCCTAACCATAACCCTTACCTACCCTGAACCTTAACCCTTAAAGCCAATTTATGCTTGATCCGGAGTGGTCAGGAGGCTCAGTACGGAGGGTATGACACAATTGCGGAACCTCCGGAGGCCAAATCGAGCTTGGTACGCCGATGCCATGCGTTTCCCAAATTTTGTAACAATGCGCAGGGCTCCGCATAGCTCCGTATTGACATGGTTGGTTGATGGAAAATGGGGGCGGTACATCCTGTATAAACACCAACTCACTTTCTTGACAACAAACATGGAGAACTTTGACGAAAGGCTATCAATAAAAAATATCTTTATGATACTTCGTGTAGGGGTTTCAAAGACACAAAAATGAGTTTGAACTCCTGGAAAGAGATCAGGGAGGTAATGGGGATAGATGCGGTAAAGAGGTCAATGGAATGCAGACAGTGGGGGGGATAGAAGGACGCTGGATTGCCGCATATTGAACAAATCTGATCTAACAAAGTGGATATTTGTCAAATCCGTATTGTAACAGGCCCACAATGTGGTTACTAAAATCCGATTTGGATACATTTGGCTGTTTTCACTGCATAACATTTAGAAGTTGTCCCTTTTCAGGTTTAGAAAAAGTGACTGCTAAATGCTAACTCCCATTCGTATAAGCTGGTAGCATACAGAAATCGGTGGTGGTAGTCAAAGTAGTTGAACTGTAATGCAGTTGATTGGTGACGATGACATGAACATGTATTGGGGTTGACATCCATACAAGCATTATACTCCGATTGTTTACCTCAACATAGTGTTAAATACACATATAAACAACAGCCAAAAGGTAGGCTAGTTTTGCTGGGAGGCCATGGGGAGATTCAGGATGGAGATGCAGGTTGGAAAACTGTTTTAGTTCATCCTATCTTGGCCTATGTCAAGCACCGGGAAACAGACTCAAACATCTCAGAAGAGGTAAGGTCTTGTCTTTTCGTTTAGCCAGTTGTTTGTAATTAGCTGGATGGCTATAGAGATTAGCCTTGAATCACTGCAAGTGGTGCAGTGCAGACGCATTTATTGGATGCGTATGACAACAAAAAGTATGAATGCTCTGACTTCTTCGAAAGCCGCATCGCTGTAAATGCTGTACGGCCACTGCAATAGCCGGATTGACCACAGAGCCTTTTAATGTAACCATTTAAAATGTCAAATTCAATAGGGTAGGGACGTCCCAAGGATCCCAGATAGCAAGGACCGTTCACTGAGGCAACGCTTGGGGCGAGAGGCAGTGCTCTGCCAGCGGAACATTTTGTGATTGATGTTTTTTCTTTCAAGTGACAACAACCAGAATTTAGTGGCTACAGTCCTACAAATCGATGAAAACATAGCTAAATACCAATACATTGAAAATGTGTCCTAATTCGTTGTCTTCCAGCTGGCTAGCATGAGGCAGCTCAGTCGTCAGAGCTTACGCAATTTTTTTGCTGGAATCAGTGTAGTTTATCCTCCTTTCACTAGAGTGTAACAGTTTTTCCATGAAAGCTTCCATTAATGTTCTTTCATCAAATTTAAGAAATCAGCTTTCTGAGTATCATTGTAGGGCTGTTTTACATACATAATTATTTTTTTATTTTTTTTATTCCAGCTATAATAATAACAACAATATCGGTAGATACACTCCATGGCCAAAAGTATCTGGACACCTGCTTGTCAAACATCTCATTCCAAAATCATGGGCATTATTAATATGGAGTTGGTCCCCCCTTTGCTGCTATAAACAGCCTTAATTCTTCTGGGAAGGCTTTCCACTAGATGTTGGAACATTGCTGCAGGGACTTGCTTCCATTCAGCCAGCAGAGTATTAGTGAGGTTGGGCACTGATATTGGGCGGTTAAGCCTGGCTCGCAGTCGGCGTTCCCATTCATCCCAAAGGTCTTCGATGGGGTTGAGGTCAGGGCTCTGTGCAGGCCAGTCAAGTTCCTCCACACCGATCTCGACAAACCATTTCTGTATGGACCTCGCATTGTGCACGGAGGCATTGTCATGCTGAAACAGGAACGTCTAGTATATCATTGTATGCTGTAGCATTAAGATTTCCCTTCACTGGAACTAAGGGGCCTAGCCCGAACCATTAAACACAGCCCCAGACCATTATTCCTCCTACACCAAACTTTACAGTTGGCACTATGCATTGGGGCAGGTAGCGTTCTCCTGGCATCCGCTAAACCCAGATTCGTCTGTCGTACTGCCAGATGGTGAAGCGTGATTCATCACTCCTGAGAGCGCCTTTCCACTGCTCCAGAGTCCAATGCCGGCGAGCTTTACACCACTCTAGCCGACGCTTGGCATTGCGCATGGTTTCCGCCATGGCTGCTCAGCCATGGAAACCCATTTCATGAAGCTCCCGACGAACAGTTCTTGTGCTGACGTTGTTCCAGAGGCAGTTTGGAACTCTGTAGTGAGTGTTGCAACCGAGGACAGACGACTTTTACGCACTTCAGCACTCGCCGGTCCCGTTCTGTGAGCTTGTGTGGCCTACCATTTCACAGCTGAACCGTTGTTGCTCCTAGACAATAACACTTCACAATAACAGCACTTACAGTTGACCGGGGCAGCTCTAGCAGGGCAGAAATTTGATGAACTGACTTGTTGGAAAGGTGGCATCCTATGGTGCCACATTGAAAGTCACTGAGCTCTTCAGTAAGGCCATTGTACTGTCAATGTTTCTCTATGGAGATTGCATGGCTGTGTGCTCGATTGTATACACCTGTCAGCAACGGGTGTGGCTGAAATAGCCAAATCCACTAATTTGAAGGGGTGTCCACATACTTTTTTATATATAGTGTATTTCGGTTATCTGTGAATATTTCCACTCTAAAATCGGATCCAAAACTCCCTCTAACAAATTGTAGAACTTCATATACAAGTATTTAAAGCATTTAAATGAGAACTAAAAGGTGTACAACATGAATTACAATATAATGTAATATATTGACGGTCCCCAACTAGCCCCACAGACAGGCTATTCAAAGTCAAATCAATTTTGCCACGGTTGCACACAGTCTGGCTGAAGCTAAATGGCTAAAGAAGTTGGCTAGCTTGCTAGCTAGCCTACTTCCAGACACAAGACTTGTTAGATTGTTTCAAATGATCTAGAACGGTGAGTGACTAACTGTGTACTGTTTTGGCAGAGTGAATGTACAAACGCTTCCCAGCCAAGAGACACCCACATCAAAGCACGCCGCCAAGACCCAAATCTCGTTATCAGTCGCATTTCCTAATGAGGAAGATCGAAACCGTGGCTAAATAAGTTAGTTCAGCCCCCCTTTAAAAAGTGAACACTTAAGGAAGTAATGTGTGTAACTCCAACACTGAAATGGGTAAAGGCCATTCTAAAAAGCCACTGTGGATACCATTCTGCATTTCTTATAAAAAATTATAGTTTAACGTAATAAACTGCAGTATATTTTTTATGTCATTTAAGAAGAGGATCTAAACTAACTGACCCTACTTAAAAAATTAGTAAATTATCAATTTGACAGACTATCACTTGTTCCTCTGAGAGTAGGGGGTACTGAATTTAAGGAGGGGTACTGTTCACTTTAATGCATAAAAACAATTAAATAAAAGATGGGATGAAGGATCAGACAGTAGGGAGTAAATCAATAAACAAGTGTCCGTACTTGTCTAGGTCTTTTGACGTGAAGGAACTGGGAGATTTGAACTCCACTTAAGTATTTGTGTGTGTGGGGGGGGGTATTTACAGCCTGTGGATAATACCACCGGTATAAAAAGGGAGGGGCGACAGTAGGTGAGGTAGGTAAGTAGGGATAGAGTCCCAAAGGTCCAGGCTCCTGTTCTGCTCTCTCCAGCTGCTACTTACATCCCCAGAGCTGGGGCTGGGCAGGGGGAGAGTGTGGTGGGGGTGGACATGGAAGGGGAAGCTCCCCCCTGTGTTGGGCCGCTCGGGGACCAGGGAGGCAGTGAGACAGCTGGAGGGGGAGGTTGGGGTGTGGCTGCCCAGTTCCGGAACACTGCTGTATTTGGGTGGGCGACCTGGGTGAAATGAGACAGACGAAAAACAAAAAAAGATGGAGGTGGGAGGGAAACAAACAAACAGTCTGTCCAACATACCTTTGACAGGCGGTCCTCGTTGGCTAGTGTGAAAAAGGGAATGGTGTTGAGTTGAGGGTGGAGGAGGAGAAGCACAGAGCGGAGTTAGTGCACTAAGAGACAGAAGCTACATGCAAGTGCGGTTCAAAAGAAGAAGCAGCGCAATACGTTGGCAGGGTGGAGGGAAGCTGACAGTTGAAGGGAGTGAGCGATCTCTCCCTATTCACTAGGACGTCTACAAATCAACCTCAAAAAGGGACAGTTCAAAGTGAAACACAGTTTGTCAGATGCTTTCATACAGCAAAAAGTGGTGTGTAAGTGCAATTGGATGGTGCCAATCTTTCCCATTGATTTGGGGTTGAGACCTACAGATTTCCTTGTGCTCGGATCAACAAAATTGACTCAGCTCCACTTGATGCATGAAAACATCTGACAAAGTTACATTTTGACATGAACTATTATCCCTCTAACCAAAACCCGGTTTTCACAAATGACAATTGGAAAAAGTCAAGGAATCTCTACAGTTAGGGATAAAGAAAAGGCAGTCTTCATAATGAAGTCTTCAAGGTCAGAATAGCAGTCTCTTAGTAAGTGTCCCTGCACGGGATTCGGCCAGCAAGCAAAGAGGTGTCAGCAGAAAAGTTGTGTGTGTGGTGTGTGAGAGAGACATTCACAGCATTTCGTACCATTTACATTAAGTAGATTAAAACATACAAGCATCAAATATAGGCTAGCTCAGTAATCTATACATCTATATGTCCCTGGGCATTGGAACAGGTGTATGTGCAGGTGTTTACAGCCTCCAGTGCTGACAGCTTGTTGAGTGGATACTGACCTCTCTTTCTGGTTCCCTGGTGGAGCGGAGTGTTTAGGTAGGTCACTGCACTCTTCTTCCTCTGCACGGCGTCGATAGGAATACATATGGGAGAATAAATCCAGCTTTGATTTGACTGCAAAGTCCATGTTGCTCACTCAAAAGGACACCCGTTTTCTTTTCATATGCTACACAGGGCCAGATAACTCTGAGTACATGCATTCAGATATTCACATGCAAGGAAAATGGTGCGTATTATGGTCGCATTTTAAAAAGCATGTGCACTGGCAGTCAACCTAATAAGAAACACATTGTGTACAGGGTTGGGTAGTAACAGATTACATCATATCAAATTTGATTTGTCACATGCGCCGAATACAACAGGTGTAGACCTTACCGTGAAACGCTTACTTACAAGCCCTTAACCAACAATGCAGTAGAAAAAATTGTGTTAAGAAAATATTTACTAAATAAACTAAAGTAAAAAAATAAAATCAAGAAAATGACATAACAATAACAAGGCTATATACAGGCGGTACCGGTAGAGTCAATGTGCGGGGGTACAGGTTAGTCGAGGTAATTTGTAAAGTGACTATGCATAGATAATAAACAGTGAGTAGCAGCAGTGTAAAAACAAAGGGGGGGGGGGGGAATCAATGTAAATAGTCCGGGTGGCCATTTGATTAATTGTTCAGCAGTCTTATAGTTTGGGGGTAGAAGCTGTTAAGGAGCCTTATGGTCCTAGACTTAGCGCTCCGGTACCGCTTGAGAACAGTCTGTGACTTGGGTGACTGGAGTCTTTGACAATTTCTTGGGCCTTCCTCTGACACTGCCTAGTATATAGGTCCTGGGTGTCAGGAAGCTTGGCCCCAGTGATGTACTGGGCCATACGCACTACCTTCTGTAGTGCCTTACGGTCAGATGCCGAGCAGTTGCCATACCAGGCGGTGATGCAACCGGTCAGGATGCTCTTGATGGTGCAGCTGTATAACTTTTTGAGGATCTGGGGACCCATGCCAAATCTTTTCAGTCTCCTGAGGGGGAAAAGGCGTTGTCGTGCCCTCATCACAACTGTCTTGGTGTGTTTGGACCATGATAGTTCGTTGATGATGTGGACACCAAGGAACATGAAACTCTCGACCTGTCAGCAATGGGTGTGGCTGAAATAGCCAAATCCACTAATTTGAAGGGGTGTCCACATACTTTTGTATATATAGTGTATTTCGGTTATCTGTGAATATTTCCACTCTAAAATCGGATCCAAAACTCCCTCTAACAAATTGTAGAACTTCATATACAAGTATTTAAAGCATTTAAATGAGAACTAAAAGGTGTACAACATGAATTACAATATAATGTAATATACTGACGGTCCCCAACTAGCCCCACAGACAGGCTATCCAAAGTCAAATCAATTGATGTTGATTGCGGTTAATGGCGGCCTGTTCGGCCCTCCTTTTCCTATAGTCCACGATCAGCTCCTTTGTCTTACTCACATTGAGGGAGAGGTTGTTGTCCTGGCACCACACTGCCAGGTCTCTGACCTCCTCCCTATAGGCTGTCTCATTGTTGTCGGTGATCAGCCCTACCACTGTTGTCGTCAGCAAACGTAATAACGGTGTTGGAAGTCGTGCCTGGCAACGCAGTCATGGGTGAACAGGGAGTACAGGAGGGAACTGAGCACGCACCCCTGAGGGGCCCCAGTGTTGAGGATCAGCGTCACAGATGTGTTGTTGCCTACCCTTTCCACCTGGGGGCGGCCTGTCAGGAAGTCCAGGATCCAGTTGCAGAGGGAGGTGTTTAGTCCCAGGGTCCTTAGCTTAGTGATGAGCTTTGTGGGCACTATGGTGTTGAACGCTGAGCTGTAGTCAATGAACAGCATTCTCACATAGGTGTTCCTTTTGTCCAGGTGGAAAAGGACAGTGCGGAGTTCGATTGAGATTGCGTCATCTGTGGATCTGTTGGGGCGGTATGCGAATTGGAGTGGGTCTAGGGTTTCCGGCATGATGGTGTTGATGTGCGCCATGACCAGCCTTTCAAAGCACTTCAAGGCTACAGACGTGAGGGCTACGGGGCGGTAATCATTTAGGCAGGTTACCTTCGCTTTCTTGGGCACAGGGACTATGGTGGTCTGTTTGAAACATGTTGGTATTACAGACCTCAGTCAGGGAGAGGTTGAAAATGTCAGTGAAAACACTTACCAGTTAGTCTGCGCATGCTTTGAGTACACGTCCTGGTAATCCGTCCGCGGCTTTGTGAATGTTGACCTGTTTAAAAGGTCATGCTCACATCGGCTACGGCGAGCTTGATCACACAGTTGTCCGGAACAGCTGGTGCTCTCATGCATGCTTCAGTGTTGCTTGCCTCGAAGCGAGCATAAAAAGGCATTTAGCTCGTCTGGTAGGCTCGCGTCACTGGCAGCTCGCGGCTGGGTTTCCCTTTGTAGTCCGTAATATTTTTCAAGGCCTGCCACATTCGACGAGCGTCAGAGCCGGTGTAGTAGGATTCAATCTTAGTCCTGTATTGACGTTTTGCCTGTTTGATGATTCGTCTGAGGGCATAGCTAGATTTCTTATAAGCGTCCGGTTTATTGTCCCACTCCTTGAAAGCGGCAACTCTAGCTTTTAGCTCGGTGCGGATGTTGCCTGTAATCCATGGCTTCTGGTTGGGAAATGTACGTACGGTCACTGTGGGGACGACGTCGTCGATGCACTTATTGATGAAGCCGGTGACTGAGGTGGTATACTCCTCAATGCCATTGAATGAATACCGGAACATATTTCAGTCTGTGCTAGGAAAACAGTCCTGTAGCGTAGCATCCGCGTCATCTGACCACTTCCGTATTGAGCGAGTCACTGCTACTTCCTGCTTTAGTTTTTGCTTGTAAGCAGGAATCAGGAGGATATAATTATGGTCAGATTTGCCAAATTGAGATTACGTTACCCAATTACAAATATGAAGTATGGAGTTTCTGTATCCCCAATTTGCCCAGGCTAAAAATATGGATATTTCTGCACATGTGCAGGATATTGTTTTCCACTGCCTACGTAGCTGCTGTGCTGAGTGCTCCGCTGCCGCTCTCCCCTCTTTGATTTCCTTTGTCTGGTCACTAGTGTAGCCTACAAACTTCATGTTGTATACAAAACTGTTTGAACTACTGCATTCCATGCCTCAGTAAGCATAAGAACGATTTCATGTTTTTTTCAGGAGGGGAGTCGGCTACATGCAGCTATTTACATGTTTTACACAAAATACATTAAAATCGACATGTTCGTACAAAATGTGTTGTCACTGTTGCAAACATAAGCACGACAAACAGGCAGTCTAGCGATTTCATGTTCTTCTTAGCTGCCGACTTACATGCAGCTATTTACTCTCGCCACGATATCAACATATGGCATAACTATGGCACTGGGCGATGCAAAACGAACTTGACCATTCAGACTCTTTTTACAGGTCCGGATACATGCTCGGCTGCCTAGAACGTTCGGCTGCCCAGAGGTGGAACGCAGCAAGACACAGACACGCAGTCTAATTAGCGATTGAATGTTTTTTCTTTATCATCATTGCAAATATTGACTAAACTGCATAGGAGACAGACAGGCAGTCAAGTGGTGTTCTTTTTTCAGGAACTACGATATGGCAGTAACTATAAAGACTAGCCTACATCATCACACAAAATGCTGACTGTTTTGCTCCAAAGTGTAGGGACTGTGTCCTGCTTGTGCAACTGCAATATCAGTTACAACAGACAGACAGAAGGTTGTAGCCTTGATAATATATATGTTTTGGAATGTTCGTTCAAATTGCCTCAGGGTTTTTATTTCAGCTGTTCAGAAATATGAGGCAGAGACATAGGCTACATCATCATGGTTCAGAAGGTGAGTAAATAGCGAAACTCGAGGGGAGGTGGAGTGTGAGCAGCAGCTACAAATGTGTGTGTAAAATAACAGAATGTGATCTGGATCCTTAACATTAAGAAAGAGGTCTCTGGAGGGGCCGGCGAGGGCGTGGCGTGGGCGAAAACTCTATCCGTAGCCTATTAAGTAATTTATCAGCCTGGATTTAAAAAATTTAAGTGTCATCAGATTACAGTTACATTATTAAAAAGAGCTGATTACATTTGGGATTACTTCCTCTAATATCAAGAGGGAAAATGTATAATACTTCTCACATGCTCTCAAAGATGTTAATGTTGTTCTGCTGATCGCCCATCAAGAGTAGATGGCTTCTTTTGTATTCAAATAGATGAATGAAAAGGAAAGGCTTCTAAAACATTTACACCTGGCCCACTGGTCAATCAGAGAGTCGTCTGGACTCCACAGAGTTCCTGCTTTGTAGCAGTGCACTTTCACTCTCTCTATTTGTCTGCTCCGTAGCAGGAGAGATTTTTTGTAATTTTTTAAAATGCTGAACACAATGGCAGCGAAACACTCTTGAAAGCAACCACTGTTGTTCCTGTAGAAGAGCCGAGGGTCCAAGCTTTCTGTAGGTCTTTAATAGATCCAACTCTTAACATCGAACATGTCGGCCATTTAAGGTGAGTGCATAGGCCTATTCATTCAATTTCTTACTGATATCAATTACACAGCTTAGTCTCCTATCAGTAACCTGAATATTAGGATATATAATTTAGAGTTAGCAATCTAGCTACCACTCCTCAGGTGGTGAATTAGCCCCAAACGAATTAGCCTGGGCTATTTGATATTAGTGCCCATGTAGACAAATTAATCTCTATTGAACAAAAAAATAATACATCGGAAAATTCTGGAACCCCATTTTGACAGTCAAATAATGGCAACAAAATTCACGACAATCACAGAAAAAAATCTGGAATCATGCCTTCCTGCTTGGACATGTTAGATTAAACAATTCATTTCTTGAATCATACCATCTTAGTCTAGTACACTTCTTAATTAAGCATGTTGAATGATTTTACAAGATGATTTGGCTACACATTTTGTCTATTGCGTGACCACGCCACACATTTTTGGTGCGACCCAATCATGGGCTGAAAACTTTAGTATGGAGCCCTGTGACAATGCTCTCACACATAGAATAAAGAACATGTGACTACTAGAACCTTTATGATCGCACACATCCCAATTTGGAAATACTCATTTTAGGCTACTAAAACGTGCACGTTTTTAAAACGTCTGGGTGGTAGAAGTGAAAGTAATCAGATTACTTTACTCATTTGGATTACGCTAATGATTACTTTATTTTTCATGTAAGTAATCGGTAACGGATTACATTTTTCAAGTAATCCGCCCAACACGGATTGTGTAACAGTTGTTGTAGTAATGTGTGGTTACACTATATAAAAAAAAAAGATAAGTAGAAGAACAGACATACCTCGGGCTCAAACACAGCTCCACTGTATACCGGGTTCGCCGTTGTTCTTCGCTTACGCTCCTGCCTCCTGCTTTGAATTTCTATAAACAAAGAGCAGTATTTCAATACAGCCATTGCAGTATGAACTTCTAGGGAACGCAGGAGATTGTAGCAACTGGAATTTAATTCAGGCCTAACTGGCAGCACTTACCTTCCAAATGGTCATGGGTGACAAGTCCGAGGGCAACCATGAAGGCAAGTTTCTGGGGGAAACAATGAAAGGGTATTAGGACAACCCCCTACAAAAATGGTGCCCTGTGTGAGGAGAATTCCTAAAATCATCAACACACATACAAACAGTGCATTCGGAAAGTATTCAGACCCCTTGACTTTTTCCACACTTTGTTACATTACAGCCTTATTGTAAAATTGATGAAAAAATTTTTGCCCCTCAATCTACAAACAATACCCCATAATGACAAAGTGAAAACAGGTTTATATAATATTTTGCTAATTTGAAATAACTTATTTACAAAAGTATTCAGACCCTTTATTATGAGACTCGAAATTGAGCTCAGGTACATCCTGTTTCCATTGAGCATCCTTGAGATGTTTCTACAACTTGATTGGAGTCCACCTGTGGTAAATTCACCTGTGGTAGGTCCACCTGTCTATATAAAGGTCCCACAGTTGACAGTGCATGTCAGAGCAAAAACCAAGCCATGAGGTCGAAGGAATTGTCCGTAGAGCTCCGAGACAGGATTGTGTCGAGCACAGATCTGGAGAAGGGTACCCAAAAACATTTCTGCAGCATTGAAGGTCCCCAAGAACACAGTGGCCTCCATCATTCTTAAATTGAAGAAGTTTGGAAACACCAATACTCTTCCTAGAGCTGGCCTCCCGGCCAAACTGAGCAATTGGGGGAGAAGGGCCTTGGTCAGGGAGGTGACCAAGAACTCGATGGTCACTCTGACAGAGCTCCAGAGTTCCTCTGTGGAGATGGGAGAACCTTCCAGAAGGACAACCATCTCTGCAGCACTCCACCAAATCAGGCATTTATGGTAGAGTTGCCAGACGGAAGCTCCTCTTCAGTAAAAGGTACAAAATTACGTATTTACCTGATTTGTTTAATATTAATAGTTAACAATTATATGCTTAACAATAAGTAAGACATTTCTATTCTACCAATGCTGTGCTTCTGAGAAAGGATGGTTCCTCTCTTCCACGTTCACTCCCTGCAGCTGGTCTGGGCATAACGTCAAGGACATGGTGCGACGACCTGTTATTGGTTCCAACCATCTGGGCTTCTGTTCAACTTGGTCACATGGCACAAGAGAAAGAGCCTCACAGTGACCACAGTGTCTCAGTCTATCCTGTTCTTCTCATATATTTCAAGGACACAGCTGTGTGGAGATATGAGGTGAACAGAGGCTGGCTTGAACAGAGAGGAGTAATGGAACTAATGTTATCACTTGTTTGTGCGCTCCGATACACATAGCCACAAGAAGAAAACAAGGTAGCTTATGATGCCCTGATCTGCCGGGGAGGGGTGGAACCAGCCATGACTAAGCATTTTTAGGTCCACTATTTAAGACCTCAGCATTTCTTGTACTGTCGGGCTCTCTGCAACCACCTATGTATGGGTGGTCGTTGACCAGCTCCATTATTGCAATAATTAAATCGATATCAAATAAAGATAAAATGACAAAGTCTCTCCTTATTGGTTAGAATTTCCACGACACAGCCCGCTTGGAGTTTGCCAAAGGGCACCTAAAGACTCTCAGACCATGAGAAACAAGATTCTCTGGTCTGATGAAACAAAGATTGAACTCTTTGGCCTGAATGCCAAGCGTCACGTCTGGGAGGAAACCTGGCACCATCCCTACAGTCAGGTCAAGACACTGGTGAGGACGACGAGTACGCAGAAGAGCTTCCCCGAGACGGTTTCTGACAATTATTTGGTTGTGGAAACCCAGTTTCATCAGCTGCCCGGTTGGCTGGTCTCAGACGATCCCGCACGTGAAGAAGCCGGATATGGAGGTCCTGGGCTGGCGTGGTTACATGTCGTCTGCGGTTGTGAGGCCGGTTGGATGTACTGCCAAATTCTCTAAAATGATGTTAGAGGCAGCTTATGGTAGAGAAATTAACATTCAATTATCTGGCAACAGCTCTGGTGGACATACCTGCAGTCAGCATGCCAATTGCACGCACCCTCAAAACTTGAGACATTTGTGGCATTGTGTTGTGTGACAAAACTGCACATTTTAGAGTTGCCTTTCTTCTCCAGCACAAGGTGCACCTGTGTAATGATCATGCTGTTTAATCAGCTTCTTGATATGCCACAACTGCATTATCTTGGCAAAGGAGAAAATCTCACTAACAGGGATTCACTAACAGGGATGTAAAGAAATTGGTGCCCCAAATTCTTAGAGAAATAAGCTTTTTGTGCATTTTCTGTGATTTTTTATTTCAGCTTATGAAACATGGGACCAACACTTTACCTGTTGCGTTTATATTTTTGTTCTGTATATATACACAGTGGCTTTTGTTGTGGTACAGCCTGAATTTTAAATTGATTATATTTAGATTTTTGGTCCCTGGCCTACATACAATACCCCATAATGTCAAAGTGAAATTGTAGTGTGTAATATTTTATTATTTTATATATACACCTCACATGTGACTCATAATGAGACTATGCAATTAGCCCATTAAAATGTTGATCTGACTCCATAAAGATAAATAGCAACATGTAAGAACACTATAGTGTATTTAATTACTATGTAAAATGAATGGATTCACATACAAAGCTTAAGTTACAAAGCATTATTCCAAGCATGGTCAGAGAGAGCGAGAGTAGCCAGCAGAACAGCCCACCACAGACGCGGACCACAACCTCAACACCACAATGGGACAGACAACCCCACATATCCATTGAGGACACACAAAAGCCAGAGATTGTGCTCATTATTGACTCAAATGGCAAATACATTCAAGAGAATAAACTTTTTCCCAAACACAAAGTGGCTAAACTCTGGTGCCCAAACACTAGGCAGGCCCTGGAGCTGTTGTCAGAGGACAGACTAGGGTCCCCCAGCCAAATCATAATTCACATGGGCACAAACGACCTGAGGGCCCAGCATGAAAGGGTGGCCACAGCACTCGAGGGAGTGATTGAAAAAGCTTCTTCCACTTTTCCCAGTGGTCATCTCCACCCTGACACCATACAGCGAGTGAATGCAAGCATTTCCCAGGACTGTGCCTCTAAACCTAATGTCTACCTGGCCCACCACTCCACCCTGGACTTGAACAGCCTTTGCGACCAGGTCCACAGCCTTTGCAGCAAGGACCTCAACATGACAGTCACACATATGCCCAGGCCGTGAGCAGAGAAACAGGTCCAACCCTCATTATACACCTGCCCAAGCCCCATCCTGCGACCTAAGAGGCATGTATCAGATGCTCAACATGCTCTGCTCACACCTGCTGTAATGGTCTGAGCCTAATCCACATGAAAACAACACTAGACACTATGGAACACAAAGATTTTACTACCTCATCCTAGAATATACAAGGTCTGAGGTCATCTGAAGGTCATCTGCAGGAAGAGCAGGAACCCAGACATTGTCATCCCATCCTACAAGAAACATGGTATAGAGGAGACGGACCCACGGGTTGCCCTCTAGGTCACAAAGAGCTGGTAGTCCTAGCCACCAAACTACCAAGTGTGAAACAGGGAAGAGACTCAGGAGGTGCACTAATTTGTTATAGATCAGACATAACCCACTCTATTAAATTAGTCCAAACAGGAATATTTTACATCTGGCTAGAAATGAATAAGGAAATTATCTCAACAGAGAAAAATGTCCTCATGTGTGCTACCTACACTACCGGTCAAAAGTTTTACAACACCTACTCATTCAAGGGTTTTTCTTTATTTTGACTATTTTCTACAATGTATAATAATAGTGAAAACATCAAAACTATGAAATACCACATATGGAATCATGTAGTAACCAGAAAAGCATTAAACAAATCACAATATATTTTATATTTGAGATTCTTCAAAGTAGCCACGCTTTGCCTTGATGACAGCTTTGCACACTCTTGGCATTCTCTCAACCAGCTTCATGAGGTAGTCACCTGGAATGCATTTCAATTAACAGGTGTGCCTTCGTAATGTGTTTGAGCCAATCAGTTGTGTTGTGACAAGGTGTGGGGGGGGGGGGGTAAACAGAAGATAGCCTTATTTGGTAAAAGTCCAAGAACAGCTCAAATAAGCAAAGAGAAACGACAGTCCATCATTACTTTAACACATGAAGGTCAGTCAATCCGGAAAATTTCAAGAACTTTTAAAGTTTAAATGCAGTCGCAAAAACCATCAAGCGCTATGATGAAACTGGTTCTCATGAGGACCGCCACAGGAATGGAAGACCCAGAGTTACAGAGGATAAGTTAATTAGTTACCAGCCTCAGAAATTGCAGCCCAAATAAATGCTTCACAGAGTTCAAGTAACATACACATCTCAACATCAACTTTTCAGAGGAGACTGTGTGAATCAGGTCTTCATTGTCGAATTGATGCAAAGAAACCACTACTAAAGGACACCAATAAGAAGAAGAGACTTGCTTGGGCCAAGAAACATGAGCAATGGACATTAGACCGGTGGAAATGTGTCCTTTGGTCTGGAGTCCAAATTTGAGATTTTTGGTTCCAACCGCCATGTCTTTGTGAGATGCGGTGTGGATGAACGGATGATCTCCGCATGTGTATTTCCCACCGTAAAGCATGGAGGAGGTGGTGTTATGGTGTGGGGGTGCTTTGCTGGTGACACAGTCTGTGATTTATTTAGAATTCAAGGCACACTTAACCAGCATGGCTACCACAGCATTCTGCAGCGATACGCCATCCCATCTGGTTTGGGCTTAGTGGGACTATCATTTGTTTTTCAACAGGACAATGACCCAATACACCTCCAGGCTGTGTAAGAGCTATTTTACCAAGAAGGAGAGTGATGGAGTGCTGCATCAGATGACCTGGCCTCCACAATCCCCCGACCTCAACCAAATTGAGATGTTTGGGATGTGTCAGACCGCAGAGTGAAGTAAAGGCAGCCAACAACTGCTCAGCATATGTGGGAACTCCTTCAAGACTTTTGAAAAAGCATTCCAGGTGAAGGTGGTTGAGAGAATGCCAAGAGTGTGTAAAGCGGTCATTACATTTTCAAGGCAAAGGGTGGCTATTTGTATATTTTGATTAGTT